TGATACACAAAAATATATCCCAAAAAAGTTATTTTTAAAATTATAGCTAACTTTTATATAGTACTCAGTATGTACCATACTGTCTTGCCAGTGAATTTCAGCCCCAGGGCAAGTTCACTCTTGATTCAGTGAGACCGAATAATGACAATGGAATGTTGTTGGGGTGAAAGGGTTTATACCCAATTTTATTCCCCTGGTGGCAGGTCATTCACTGGAATCCCGCCCAGTCAGAACAAGTCTGCATGCAGCAAGCTGGTCTCTGCCTCTGGGCATCTGTCACCACAGCCACCTCAGTCTCTGTCTTTGGCGCTGCCACCACTGCAGTCTCTGCTCTCCTGAAGCCATGCAGCCCTAAGCACTAGGTGGAGCTCTTTACATAGAGTCAATAACGACATATTGCCCACACGTGTGTAGTGAGCTAACTGACCAAGGGTCAGATGAGAATCCTGGCCATAGGAACTTCCATTCCCTCCCCCCCACACACACTGTCTTAAGTGCTTAGCATGTAGCAACACATTTAATCCTCATAACAGCCCTATGAAGGAGGCAATATTATTTATCCCTCTTTCGTTAATTAGGAAACTAAGACACAGTGCAGTCAGATAACTTGCTGAAGAGCACACAGCCAGTAATTAATAGAGATGGGGTCCAAAAGCAGTAGGTCTGGCTCTACAATCCAGGATCTCAACCATGGCTTCCATTCATGGGAAAGGAAATACAAAGAATATACAGACACACTTGTAATATGGCAATATGTGGAAGTAATCATAAGGAACCTTTATCAGTAATTCCCTCTAGGAAGTGGAAATGAGGGTGGGCAGGAGAGGAAGACAAATTTATTACTTTATACCACTTTGAACTCTGAATTTTTATATACCTTATAATTCATGCATTCATTTTATAGATAAGAAACATCTATTTTTAAATAAAAAAAATTGGTCATCTTTGATTTGTCAGATTCTTACATTTTTAATTTTCCCTAAGCTTTTTGATATTTTCTAAATTCTTTGGAGTATGTCTTCGGGCCAAGTTCTCAAATAATTACCATGATGTGTCTGGGGTTACATTTCATTCTGCCAATGTCAGAGCTCCAGGATGGGGTTGAAGCCAAGAAGGGTCAGGGTGGAGGCTGAGGAAGACTTGATGACAGAAGGGCCTCTGTTGCTTGTTCCCCTGCTTGAGCCAGCCTGTGGCTGGCCTGGATTCAGGGCTGCACTGAGCTGTGGTATGCAGTTCTAAACTTCCTAGATGCCCTGGGGTGCACCATGGGGGCTGGCAGCCTCCAAAGCTGCCGCTCTCCTGGAGGGGGATAGATTAGCTGCAGGCATGTGCACAAGTGCAACCAAACGGGTTTAATGGCGGCACGTGTTTGGGTTTGTGCCTGAAGGGCAAGAGTGGTTCTGCCTCCAGCATATGTGTGCATCTGGGGAGCCGATTTTTTTTTTACTTAATATTTAAGTGGGGGGCGGGTTCCACTTAATATTTAAAGATTTTCACAAGGGAATACATTATGAAAGCTGCTAAGTGTTGTGGAGTTTCTTCACTAACATAGGAAGATATAAACTTTAGGAAGCATTCTACTGGGTGACAAGATGCTTAAAAGAAAATGAGAGGGGTTAATGTTTGGACTGTGATTAGCTCTGTGTAATCATTTCTTTGGCTCAATAATGCAGAAGCAGGGAGTAATAACAGGGTTTGTTTATTTTTAGTAGGTGCTTACTGTATGCAAATGCCCTACAAGAGCATAGTGTGAGAATATAGGATACTGATTTTCATGAAGGTTTTCCTTTTTACAAAGTTCATAATAAAGATGGATTAAAAGATATTTGGAGGAGAATCTTTTTTTTTCCTTAATTTTGTTTTCTGGCTATAGACTACCTGTAACATAATCCCCAGAGCCTTTTTGCTATTAAGATGCAGCAAAATCCAATGAAAGCAGCATTGGCTTGAGAGTCAGACAAGTTTACATTCAAATACCAGACCTGCCACTTCCTCGCTGTGTGACCTTGGGCAACTTATTTAACCAGTCTTCCATTTTTGTGTGGTTTTTCTGAAAAATGGGCATAGCACTGCCTGCTTGCACAGTTGATGGAAGCACCTTACACGATGTCTGACAATTAGTAAGTACTCAATAAATATGAGTTCCCTTACCTCCGCTCTGGAGGAGATGAAACCGAGCAGGAAAAAAAAAGACTTGTGCAAAGGGTCTACTTTCTCTTATATGCCATTTTCCTGCTAACGAAGTGCATGACAGAGTGAAAATGTATGGATGCTGTCCCTCCCCTCAATCTCAAAATCTTATACTGTACCCCGGGTGTGTTGCCCTGCATATATAATGCAGCTACACTCTCTTGCCAGCAGTGGCTTTGAATAGTTGTATCCCCTGCTTAGATGCTATATACACCCATTTGTGAATTGATTGTCTATATCCAGGCAAGCACTGTGCCTGTTTGCTTTGCTTTGAAGATGTTGCTGCTAAGCTCATCTTTTCGTGGAAAAGCTGGTGAGAGAAACTTGTTGGAAGAGAGGAGTCTTTACAAGTCACTGCTTCAATTGATTTTTTTAAATAAACACTTTGAAGACATGGTAATGAAAGCACCACTGAAGTATTTCAATCTTACCCAAAGAACTCATGCTCACCTGATAAATGCACAGGGCAGAGTCAACCATAATGAACTCTTAGAACGACTGGCACATTGCCCCCAGTTTTCACAAACTGTTACTGCTAGCGAAGGAGTTACTTTTGAAACATTCAGAATGTTAAGCTTTTGGGTGTTGTGGGGCTAAGGCATACAACGACGTTGCTATGACCAACACACAACTAAAGTTTCCAACCAGAGGGCAAGCAGTTAGTCCTGATGACCACCTACATTTAATTCCTCCAAGGTCAGCATAATCTAAGAGCAGAAAGCCAAATGCAAGCCTTTGCGGGCAGCCACACTTGAAAAGTAGGAGGAGATTAAAATAACAAAGTAAACTGGAAAGAGCAGTAAAAGGGAAGAAAAGCAGGGTATTGTAAGGTCAAAATTAAAAACAAAACAAGAATTCGGTGGCATCAAATATAGCAATGAGTTCAAAGAAGAGAAACAGCAAAAAGTGATTTGACCAGGAGGAAGTTAGCTGTGGTTTCTGCGGTTAAGTGGTTTCTGACTGGGCAGGTGGTTTCTCTCACATAAAGGGAGGCTTCTATGGAATGAGATATTTAGATCAACCACTTTTTTCACACACAACATTTAAGAGCCATTGTAATTAGATTCACTCACTCATTCACTTCATTAGCATTTGCTGCACTCTTTACAAGTGCGAACTCTACTAAGCTCCATGGGGTAGGGGTAGCTAATAGAGAAGCCATAATTAAGTCATAATGGCTTTCCTCTCACACGGAATCCAGGTGAAGTTCTAGACTGAAAGGCTCATTTCCCCATTTCAGTTTATGTATTCTTTTCTGATATATAGCCTTTTCTTTGCCTTTTTGAATTAAACAAAGTTGAATTGGCCACAACACAGGCAAACATGCAAAGTGTCAACCTCCAAGGGCAGGAAACTTAAAAAAGCAAAAATCTCAATGTTTCTTATGTGGAAGAGCAAAATTGGTATTTATACCTTGTGTTAGATTTTCTTCTACAAGTACAAACAAAAGCCCACACAGAATAGTTCAAAGGAACCAAAGTTTCCTCAGTTCCAAAAAAAAAAAAGAAATGCATATACTGCTTTGCTTCTCATGAGTCAACCAACCAGTTTGGCTGGCCGCACCACTGGCGAAGCATCAACTTGGATTCTGACAGGAGGTAAAAGACATCAAGGCTCAAAGAATCCTGTGTGAGCTCTGAGGAAAAACAGACATATTTATACCATGGATTAGGTATCCACAGAAGTTTGATGCCTAGAGTATAAACTCAGCCCCCCAACAGGAACAGGCCAAAGTGGCCAAGCTTTCCACACTTTCAAGCAATACACTGTGGAGCCCTGCTTCTCAAAGTGGAGTCTGGAGCTGCCTTGCAGAAAGCAATCTGGTGTCTGGAAGTGAGACAACCCACAGGATACCTTTGGCACATCGAAGGTGTAGGTGAATTTTACACCCCAGTATGCACACGCACCCAGTAGCTCTAAGGGACTTTTGTAACTGGCCATCCAAAACAAACCCACCTTAAAAATAAATACACCAACCCACCTTTAGGGTGGTATGTGTTTTTTCTTTTTCTACTTTCCATATTTTCTGTTTCTTTTTTTTAATAATAAGGGAGACTTTTTAACTTAAAAAAAACTACTTAAAATTTTAAAAGCTTCTGAGCCACCCTAGTGAGAAATATAATACCTATTTGAAAATTGCTGTGATTATCCTTGAAATCTTTTCTTCTTTGGCTTCACTAATCCTAATAGCCAAAAATGTGTAAAGTCACCATTTTTCAACTGTTCTATCACTCTACATTATGTCACAAGTTACCCCTGTCAAATGTTTTGATGGAGAATGTCTTTCTGCAGTAACTCCAAGCATTTTAAAATGTGTACCCAAAAGTCATCAATCTCATTTGTATTTTTGTCTACTTTTATAACTGATTGACACCCGCTTATCACCAAATTCCAGGACTGTGTGGATATATGGCAATCAGAGATGAGCTAGCTTCTACTAATGGATGTATAAAGAAGCCCAAATCCAAAGAAAAGATTTCCCCATTTCAGCTCAATTTGTAATTAATTTCCTTACTACCCTGAGGGCACAGGTTACAACTCTCCCTATCTGAACTTCTTACTATAAACTACACAATCAGAAAGGTCTGATCTCTAGCAGAATGTTAAGCATATGCTATTTCATAATAAATAATGTAATCCTTTCACAGGGAATAGTTTTGTAAACAGGGATTTTTAATGACACAGAGTCAAGACCTTAGTTTTGTATTTCCTATCTAAAACTGTACTCTGCATAGAAATGTGGGGCTTAGCTTTCTCAGTGGCAAACAACCATCCCAGCAGATTTTTCTAAAAGCCAATTTAAACATGAGTTTAGAGGAAAACAGTATTTATTGCATGAAAGATCTGTATTTATTAATCAAAGCCCCAAACCAAAACTGACTATTAAAACTGACTGTGCTATTAACAAGTCGTATCAACCTGGCAAGGAAGTACCATCTTACGGTAATGAATATGAGTTGCTTTAAAATTCCCAAGTAAAGTACAATAATTCCAACACCATTAAGAAATAGCTAGAACCTTTCAAACAATAGGGAAATATAAACATCAGTATAAACAACTTCATTTGGAGGCAAAGAAATGTCAAGTGTTAAGTGTGCTACAACCCGATGTGTCACAAAACACTGGCAGTGCCTAATTCTTGGGTGTGTTAGTTCAGGGACGGTTACCACTATCTGGCACCTCTAATGATGGGTGACATCCAAATACTGGCCAGAGTTAAATTACACAATGTGACTCTGCCTATCAGCAGAACAAAGACTAATGAAAACATCAGAACTTCTTGATGCAGATTATATGATCAAACCAGATAACCTTAGCTGGCAAGGGGCCAGTTCACAGAGGTCAATTTACTATCACACCACATCAGTAGCAAATTCAGAGGGGTCAATTTTCCATTTTATAACACTCCATTAAAATAGCAAATTCCCACTGCCTTTCAAACACCCCACAGGTATGTCAAGCGGAACATAGTATTTCTTCATTTACATTTACTAGCTCTTCCAGTGTTTCAGAGAGTGCTATGGGGGTTTCAACCATCTATCATGAATGGGACAAAAGGTGACATATATGGAAAAAATGTCCTGATTGAATCAGACTATTGATGTAGTTTTTCAGTCTATTGGTAAGTAGAATCAGGCAGTCTTCCAACCAGGCAATCTCAAAGTTCACAGGGGGTAATGTAAATATCCTAAAATTAAAGAAAAATGGTTAATTTTAATCCAAATGTCAATATCTGTATTCACTTGCAAATATTCCACACGTGTTCCCAGTCAGTGGCTCAATGAAAATTCAAGGATGCCCTAAGGATTGATTCAGCCAGGAACAGTTTTCACATTTTACCACACAAATTCTGACTTTACTGAAACCCACAGTTCCCAGAAATCTGGTTCTGGATTAGGCTAGATACGTTTATGGCCCTGAGAACAGTCCTCCAGAGGACTGTGGTAAATGTGAACTAGGTAAAAGACTAAGAAAAAGGTGCAGAGCAGAGTGTACTTGCCAGGGAGCCTCATGAGTAAAGTCACTATTGGGATTCTTCATTTCTCATCACTAGAGGTCCAAATTTGTTAGAAAGGGGACCACTTAGGACCCTTAGGCTGACATGTGTAGGTAAACCTAGAGAGGCTCTTCTGTCCTTTTTGGCCACGCTTTCTATTTAAGAGACCTGATCTGCCTCTGCAGGGCTAACATGGCACCAACAAGATTCGAATGCACTGCTGGACAAGACCTTGGCAAACTCAGTCCATCCCTCATGTGAGCAACCTAAAGTCAGCACCAACTGACAGAGCTGAGAGCCAAAACGGACATACCTGCAAGCTGGAGAGGAGGAAGTCCATAATTTACTGGCTACACTATCTCATACTGGTTATTTGTTATGGCACGGGAGAGACAGTAGGCTAGAAAGATCCCGATCAGCTAAAAATAAAATACACACAAAATTAAACAAGCACACACACACACACACACACACACACACACACACACACACACGCAAAAGTGCTTAAAGACATCAGAATACAGATATACTCTCCTTTCACTTCTTATTTACTGATTTCCTAAACAGTTTGATACTCGGCAGTACCTCGATCACATTCAAAGAATGTTAAGTGAAATTTTACTTTTACTGTGACCCAGAATTTTACAACTGTCACTAACAAAAATCACTCGAGGAAAACTCTAAATGTCATTAAGTTTCGGGGAAACTTTTCTTCCTCTTCCTCTCAGTTATCAGAACAAAAAAGACATAGCTTATAATCAGCATCTCATCAAGGAAACTGCATCTATGAGGGTAGAGGTTTTCCTGGAGGGTCTAGCAATACTGCAATGATGGAAATGTTCTATAATATCTGTGCTGTCCAGCACGGTAGCCACTAGCCACATGGGGCTTCTGAGCACTATTTTTCCTTAATAATCAGAACCTTTAAAAGGTGGCCAGTAGCTATCAGACAGTACAAATTCAGACATAGCTATGCCTGCTACATTGGATGCAAATTAAGCCTAGGTTTCCAAAATAAATTACATAGGTCAAAATGAAGTTAAGAAAAAAAAACCCATCTCTGTGTATGTTTACAGCCACAATACAAACTTTTCATGCTACAGTAAGAAGTGGCACAACTCAGGAAATACATCTTGCCCCACAATAAAGCATACCCAAAATAATAGGCACATATTGAATGTGGGGTTGTATGATCCAAATGTTAATAGGTTGGAACTTACATGCAGCTCATCAGACAGCTGCAGCCCAAGAAAGAAAGATCCTGTAATACTCAGAATCCTGAGTGCCTGCAGAGCAACACAAGGTTCCTATCCAGCTCATGTTTAGTTTAATTAATGAACTATCATGCAGGGAAGTTGCCCTCTTTCCACAATTAACTGCTTTCAAAGTATGTGTACCGTTAGGAGTTAATTCTAAGTCTTGCATTTTACAGTTTCATGGCACAATCGGCATGGTAAGAGGGACAAGTAAAATGAGAATAAATAATAAATAAATAAATAAACTACTCTCATCTGCAGCTCTGCATCCAAGATATCAAAAATTGGAATGAAAATAACAAAAGATGCCCTCCCAAATAAAACAAAGCTAAATAAAGACCCGATCAAAATGACTGACTACATATGTTTCAGAGGAGCAACTGAGTTTTGTCAAAAATGTGGCTTCTCCAAAAATAAAATGAAGTCCTACAAGAATGATGAAACATTTCCAACCTACAAGGACTTACCTGGAAACCAGCAACTCCAAAGGAAATTCCAGCAACAACTCCCATTTCTGACTCTATAATGGTCATCACCTTTACAAAACAACCCTAACATGAGAGAAAAAAGAACATTAAGGAGGAGCCAAGATGATGGCGTGAGTAGGGCAGCGGAAATCTCCTCCCAAAACCATATATTTTCGAAAATACAACAAATACAACTATTCCTAAAAGAAAGACCAGAAGATACAGTACAACAGCCAGGCGACATCTACACCTGTGAGAACCCAGCACCTCACGAAGGGGGTAAGATACAAGCTGCGGCCCGGCGGGACCCGAGCGTGACCACCACCCCAGCTCCCAGCAGGAGGAGAGGAGTCAGACTGGGGAGGGAGTGGGAGCCCAGGGCTGCTAAATACCCAGCCCTAGTCATTCGCACCGGGAGCGCAGACACACAGTGCGTGGTGTGCTGGATACTAGGGAAACAGAACAGTAAAACCTGTGAGCGGGTTCCCACAGCCTGTGCCCCTGGGACAAAAGAAAAGCGAGTGCTTTTTGAAGTCTTAAAGGGACAAGAGATTCCCAGATGGAAGGAAGCATCCCAGCACACTCAGCACAGCAGCTGGAAATCCCGGGGAAGTCCGGATGCCCTAACCCCCTGGGCAGCAGAGCAGCTCTGAGGCCCCTCACAGTGACAAAGAGCCTCCCGCCCGTACCCCCTCCGGCACAGCACAACCATAGCAGGGGAGCAGCCTGAGAGCAACCAAGCCCACAGAAGCCACACAGAGCATCCTCTGCAGCTGCCCGGGCCAGACTCAGAGGCCCCGTCACTGCGCAGCTGCCCAGCACAGACCTCTAGGGGTTGCTGTTCTCAAAGGAAGGGAGGCAACAGGCAAAGAGGAAGGGACTTTGTTCTCCCAGCTGATACACTGCCAACTGCCTACAACTACCTCTATAGCCATGAAAAGGCAGAAGAATTTGATACAGACAAGAATAACCCAGACATGCCCTGAGAGGGAACCTGGGAAGATAGATTTAACTAATCTTCCTGAAAAAGAATTCAAAATAAAGGTCATAACCGTGCTGATGGAGCTGCAGAGAAAAATGCAAGAGCTAAGGGATAAAGTTGGGAGGGAGAATACAGAAATAAAACAATCTCTGGAAGGACTTAAAAGCAGACTGGATGAGGTGCAAGAGGCTTTTAATGGAATAGAAATCAGAGAACAGGAACACAGAGAAGCTGACACAGAGAGAGATAAAAGGATCTCCAAGAATGAAATAATATTAAGAGAACTGTGTGACCAATCCAAATGGAACAATATCCACATTATAGGGGTACCAGAAGAAGAAGAGAGAGCAAAAGGGAGAGAAAGTGTATTTGAAGAAATAATTGCTGAAAACTTCCCCAAATATGGGGAAGAAATAGTCGCTCAGACCATGGAAGCACACAGAACTCCCAACAGAAGGGACCCAAGGAGGACAACACCAAGACACATAGTAATTAAAATGGCAAAAATCAAGGACAGGGAAAGAAGATTAAAGGCAGCCAGAGAGAGAAAAAGTTCACCTACAAAGGAAAACACATCAGGTTATCATCAGACTTCTCAACAGAAACCTTACAAGCCAGAAGAAAATGGCATGATATATTTAATGCAATGAAACAGAAGGGCCTTGAACCAAGGACACTGTATCCAGCACGATCATCATTTAAATATAAAGGAGGGATTAAACAATTCCCAGACAAGCAAAATTTGAGGGATTTGCCTCCCACAAACCACCTCTACAGGGTATTCTAGAGGGACTGCTCTAGATGGTAGCACTCCTTAGGCTAAATAGATGTCACCAGAGAAAATAAAATCACAGCAAAGAAAGCAAACCAACCAAATACTAACTAAAGGCAAAAAATAAAATCAACTACCCACAAAAGCAGTCAAAGGAAACACAAAAGAGCACAAAATAAAACACCTAGCTTATAAAGAATGGAGGAGGAGGAATAAGAAGGGGGAGAAATAAAGAATCATCTTAATAACAGCTCAATAAGTGAGTTAAGTTAGATGGTAAGATAGTAAAGAAGCTAACCTTGAACCTCTGGTAACCACGAATCTAAAGCCTGCAATGGCAATAAGTATGTATCTTTCAATAATCACCCTAAATTTAAATGGACTGAATGCACCAATCAAAAGACACAGAGTAATAGAATGGATAAAAAAGCAAGAGCCATCTAGATGCTGCCTCCAAGAGACTCACCTCAAACCCAAAGACATGCACAGACTAAAAGTTAAGGGATGGAAAAACATGTTTAATGCAAACAACAGGGAGAAAAAAGCAGGTGTTGCAGTACTAGTATCAGACAAAATACGCTTCAAACAAAGAAAGTAACAAGAGATAAAGAAGGACATTATATAATGATAAAGGGGCCAGTCCAACAAGAGGATATAACCATTATAAATATATATGCACCCAATACAGGAGCACCAACTTATCTGAAACTAATACTAATAGAATTAAAGGAGGAAATAGAATGCAATGCATTCATTTTAGGAGACTTCAACACAGCACTCACCCCAAAGGACAGATCCACCAGACAGAAAATAAGTAAGGACACAGAGGCACTGAACAACATACTAGAACAGATGGACCTAATAGACATCTACAGAACTCTACACCCAAAAGCAACAGGATACACATTCTTCTCAAGTGCACATGGAACATTCTCCAGAATAGACCACATACTAGGCCACAAAAAGAGCCT